AAAACCGAGAGTGTGCATATAGAGAACGCCTAAATATAACTTTGTGAAATGAAGTTATGTTTTTTTGAAGTTTTAGCGTAGTAGTATACGTTACAAAAACTGGAATTGAGATATTTTGATTGTTTGGAAAAACATTCTAAACAACAGTTGAAGATATCTTCAATACCTATCCTTCGATATAAAGACAGTCGAGAATGGATATCATATGAGAGAGTTATGATTTTTATACAAACTTTAACAGTCTAAGCCTATAAAAATATAAATTTACAATAAAGTGAGAATTGGTCAATGTAGTTTAAATGAAAGTTGTAGATCTTGTTGATAACTATGCGTGGATATAAAGAACATGAAAAACGAAGGTTGTGCGAAGAAGGTATTACTTTTTGAAGAATCTAAATATCCGCACGTGCAGGCGCACATGCCGACAAGGCGTACGGTGCACAAAAACACCACAACAAGGCCTACCACGTTTTTGCCATGTGTCACCCTCTAACTGGATCCACATCACCATCCCTAACAATATGCACAGTGCATATCTATGGTGCACGACAAACACACCTAGTACAAATAAATGTCTTCAATTTCCTTCATTTCTCACTCTTTCCTCAAACTCTCTTCACGCCAAACTATCTGGAGAACACCCATCCCTCAAGTCCAAACTTTCTAGATTTTTGGAGTGCTTTAGAAAAGCTCTGAGAAAGTGGGTCGGGCAAATAAAGTGCTCGGTATCGAAGCCTTGCCAGCGATCTTCCCCGCTTTCACTAGGCTTCATTTAAGTTAAGCTACGCTTCTAGTGTAACTTATATTTATATTCATGGTCATTGTTATGGATATATATATATATATATATATATATATATATATATATATATATATATATATATATATATATATATAAGATTTATATGTAACTCTAGTTATAATGTTGATTGATCTACTTACAAGAGAGCTGCCTAGAATGGTCATGTTGGCTTGGTTGTTGGATTTCAGAAAAGTTATATGCCCAAATGATCATCCCTCCTAACTGTCTGACATGGCTGATCGTTATTTGATATAAATTCATTGGGACTAGTCAAAGATCTAGTTTTTAATACCAGATCATGATAGAAATTAATAAGATATAGTAATATAGGTTAATACATGTTAGACACATTACCCGTCAGTTGAATCGTTAGTAGGATCACCCAGATAGCAATCAATCTTCTGAATAACTATAAATGTGAGTTATCTTACTATAATATGTATTACAATACATGTCCATGTATGTTAGGATAAAGAGCAAGTAGGGTAGATTTGATGGTATAGCCTTTACATTCTTAATTATAAACTAGTAGAGTAGAAAGTTTAAATGTGCATGTACTAGTATAATATAGAATGCAATCTCTATGTGTGTATTGGTTATGATATTATACTTAGATAGAGGATGATAAGTGTAACGGTTAAAGAGGCCGAGAGCCTATAGCCTTGCATGTGGACGTAATGGTGTGAAGATCGTAAGTACGCATATATGTGTGTTAACAAAATGACGTGTGTGATGTTAGTACACATAGAATCCTGTTAACGAAATGGCGGATATGTTGTAAGTCCATGTATTATTAGTAGAGAGTGAATCATTGTTTGTATGAATTATTCATTAAGTGACAGCTCCAGACCACTCTATCCTGTTACCGGATCTACTAGCCACGTTTTATGTCCATTTCCTCCTCTATTTGGCATAAAATACTCGGTCACCTCGGTGATCAAATCTTGAAGCATTTAGCATCTAATTGCTCAATTTATTGCTCTTTACCAAAAAATAATGTAATTTGTCAGGCTTGTCAACTTTCCAAACATACTATATTGCCTTTTTATTTATCAGATTCTACTATGTCTAAACCTTTTGAAATAATTCATTCTGATTTGTGGACATCTGTTATCAATAGTAATAGTGGTTTACATTATTATGCTTTATTTCTAGATCATCACACTCATTATCTTTGGGTGTACCCTCTCAAACTAAAATGTCAAGTATTTGACAAATTTCTTCATTTCTCTAGTATAATCAAAACTCAATTTGGAGACAACATAAAACAATTTTAATGTGACAACCGGTGTGTGTGTGTGTGTGTTGGGGGGGGGGGGGGGATATAACAATAAATTCTTTCATGATCATTTCGCCTCTCATGGCATTACCTTCCATTTTTCATGCCCTCATACCTCTCAACAAAATGGAAGGTCTGGACGTATGATTCATAAAAAAATATATTATGCGTACGTTATTGTTTCATTCATGTCTCTCTCGCACTTTTTGGCCCGAAGCCCTGTACATGGCTGCCCACATACTTAACATTCTTCCATCTGCTTCCAAATCCAATGACACTCCTCACTATCGGCTTTTTCAATGCCATCCCATATATGATCACCTCCACATCTTTGGTTATCTTTGTTTTCCCTACCTAAACACTACATATAAACTCCAGTCACGCTCCACACCCTTTATCTTCCTTAGCCACCCCACCTACCATCGTGGTTTTTGTTGTTACGATCTAAAGAGATCATTATTTCTCGTCACGTCACTTTTGAAGACCATATTCTCTTTTGCTTCGATTACTCCCTCAAATCCCAATCATACGATTTCCTTTATGACTCGAATTCTCTCCTAACCTTTTCCAAATATTATCTCCTAACCTTACCTTCTCTCCCATTGTCTCTAATACAACCCCTAACTCACCACCATTACCCCCTCAACCACCACCTCCCACCCAACCCACCCCTCCACCTTCAACTCATCATATACACACAAGATCAAAAGGTAGCATTTCCATACCAATCACTCACCTTAACCTCCATACATCCTTTATTTCCTGTGTCCCAAGGTCTCACTTGTAGGCTTTGAAATACCCAAACTGACATAAAGCCATAAATGAGGAGTACAATGCTCTTATTACAAATGGCACTTGGGTCCTTGTTTCGCGACCCCCCGGGGGAAAATATGGGTAGATCTATGTGGCTTTTTAAACAAAAATTTCATGATGATGGCTCTCTATTGTGTTATAAAGCATGCCTGTTCTCCAACGGCCGTGGTCAGCAACAATTCATTGATTGTGATGAGACGTTTAACCTAGTTGTAAAACCAAGCACCATACAGACCATTCTCAATCTGGCTGTCTCTAAACATTGCCCCATTCATCATCTCGATGTGAAGAATGCTTTTCTTCACGGACACCTTCAGGAGATAGTTTACATGTACCACCCTCTTGGTTTCCGAGATCCACATCATCTAGATTACGTGTGCCACCTTCAACGGTACCTCTATGGTCTAAAATATGCCTCTCGTGCATCGTATCGGTGTTTTTCTCAGCATGCTCTTCGCCTGGGGTTTCAACATAGTTTCACTTACTCATCACTTATTATATATTGTCACAGAGCTGAAACTGTATACCTCCACGATATCATTCTGAAAGCTTCATCTTCAAATTTTCTACGGTCTATCATTGATCAGTTTAGCAGAGAGTTTGCCATGAATGATCTTGGAGCTCTTAATTATTTTTTGAGGATCTATGCCACCCGTTCCTCACATGGTCTCTTTCTTTCTTAGGGAAAGTACTCCCCTAAGATCCTAGAGTGGGCTTATATGACTTAATGCAATCTAACATGTACACTTACTGAGACCACTCATATGCTAGATACTGTAGGTCCCCTTTTTCAGATCCATCACTTTATCACAACCTTGCTGGAGCAATTCACTACCTCACCTTTACTAGACCAAACATTGCCTATGCAATACATCAAAATTTCTTATTCATGCATGATCCCTAAGAGCCTCATCTTCATACGTTGAAGCGTATATTACACTACATTCATGGTACTTTTGATCATGGTTTGCAATTCCATGTTTCCCCCACATCGGATCTTCGTGCCTACTTTGATGCGACCTGTTCAGTCTCCCATCGTTCCACATCTGGGTACTATGTTTTCCTTGAGATGATTTGATCTCTTGGTATTTTAAAGGCTAGGGGGTTATTTCTCGGTCAAGTGTCAAGGCTAAGTATCGTGGTGTTGTCAATGCCATTGTCGAGACTTGTTGGGTTCGTTATTACTTAGTGAGCTTTATTATCCTCCCCTAAAGCCACAATCATTTATTGTGACAACATCAGATCTTTGTACATGACATATATCCCAATGCAATACCAACGTACGAAACACATAGACATTGGCATTCATTTTGTTCATGACCTGGTTACCAGGGGCGTTGTTCGCATCTTTCCCGTCCCCTCATCCACTCAGTATGACGACATCTTTACAAAATGCCTTCCTATGCAACTTCTCAACGACTTCAAGACCCAATTGAAAGTTTAGAAATTTCTTCCTGATTCTACTGAGGGGGTGTTATCGGATAACTGATTATGTATTATTCTTGTTGTAATCTAGGTCATTTACTTATCCCATTGTATTGTGTATTTGGCCCAAAGTGTTTGTATTGTATATATACTTTTACTTAATAAATTATTCATTATTGGAAAATAACATTTAGTAGTATGCATGTATATGTATTGTAGTATATGATATTTTGGGGAACTCACTAAGGTCCAGGCTTACCCACTTGTTTATAAATGTTTTTCAAGAGCTTTAAATGATTCGTAAGAAAGTCAAGGCTTGATTGTAAACATGCACATTCACAACATGTTTTTCTTAAATGTAATTATACTCTTGTATATTTTAATAAATAAAAATGAAAATTTTGGGTTGAAAATGGGGACGTTACACAAAACCAACAATTTAATGTAGTTGAGAATCCACTTGGATAGGAGCAGCAACATGCCGAGTCAGAAGAAACATAAAAGGTTGAACCGGAATAGTCACACTTAAGGAATTGGTAATTTAGAACCCTGCACTGGGGTGGAAATGTGAACCTAAGAATATGCAAATCCACCCACATCATTTAACATTGGTCCCTTGATACTACTAGAAGGAAATAAATGACCCATTTGGTCAACGAAAACATCACCCCATTCACCATTCTAAGTATAGTATTTCTTGCTGGGATTATCACTAATTTCTCCATCCTCTTTATCATCTTCTTGATTAACTTGAATATCATCCTCAAAATTATTACCACCATGGAAAATTTTATCATCAGACTCACCTGAAATCTTTGGAATATAACAATCCAATGTCTCACGACTATCAATAATCTCTAGTTCTGAGTTAGAGAGCTCACGAACACCTATATCATACTCAATCTCTTTAACAACCAATTTAATTTTTTCTTGAATTAAATATTGTTTCAAGGTTTTGATACATACCTTTTTCAAAGCCAAAGGAGGCTCATTGTATTTCTTCAAGAAGCATATATCACCCCACAATTTTGCAATCTTAGAAACTGCAACATCGTTCCATACGCAACAATTTAACCCCATAATTTCTATCTATACTACTCGTTCTTTAACAAAAAAATCCTTTCACCACAGGTTTAAAAGTAATGAAGTAAGAGCGGACATATTTGGTAGATTTAAATCTAGTGCAAACCACTTTAGAATCAAAAGAAATGTACACCCAACCTCCTCCTACATAACTAACTTGGGTATCCAAAAAAACATCCTCCCTAAGCAACACCACCGGTTTTGGGATAAGTCTAACATTATGAACATTAGCAAAGGCGGAGAATTTTAGTGAAAGGGTATTAGAAATCTCATATCCCTGTAACACCAATGGCTACGCAACCTTTTCCTGTTTAGGATCATATACAAGGCCTTTTTTAACAAAATTTTCATATGAACTAGAAATAGAGCCATTTACCACACCATTGTATCCAACAACATTTTTTTGAACTTGAAATTTTACAGGGTTAACATTATCTCTCCTAAAATAAGCCAAAGATGCATTCTAGATCCAAACTTCATGTAATTAAGATTCAAGAGAACTTTCATCAACAAATTTAATATAAGGAACGAAAGAAAACCTCTTACCAATCTTAGATAACTTACGAGCAGTATACACGCCCGGCACCACAATAAATTGTGCACATACAATCCATAACTTCTTCGAATCACAATCTGTTTGAAAATTAGGTATATAGAATGGAACCGATAACCTATCCATATTCCATGCGTCCTTGGAAAGATGATTATTAGCACTATCTCTACAAACCATTTGATCAATAAAGAAACACCCAAGAAAACACTAGAGTTGATGTAGAAAAAGAAGAATATAAATAATTCAAAAGATGAGATAACCCCATACCTCCCAACCCCACTAGAAATTGGCGAAAAAAAGAAGTCGACACCGAGGGGTCAAAATCGTCAGAAACTGGACAGGGAGGAAGTTAAGGGCATTCCCCTTTTCACTTCACTTCAAGATTCAACAAGAGAATAGTTAGATGAGCTCTCATTTGGTTCCATTACTACTTGGAAAAAAGTTATGAAGATGTTCTTAGAGAAATATTTTCCAGAAACACAAGTTTCTAGTCTCCAAAGAGAGATCCTTGGGATCAAACAAACAAAAAGAGAAGGTTTACATACATATTAGGAAATGTTCAAGAAGCTTCTGGTTCGGTGTCCACAACATGGGATCAATGATTACCAGCTCTACAACTGTTTTTGTGATGGTATGACACCCATGGAGAGGTGTCAGATAAATGCTTCCAGTGGTGGTTCCTTAGGTGACATGACACCAAATAAAATCCGAGAGTTGATCGACAAGTTGGAAATAGAGTCAAAACATTCCAGAAATGAAGACTAGTGGTATTCAAATCAACCAAGTGAAGTCAAGGAACTCAACAATTCTCATATGGAGTCTCAAATGTCTGAACTGACAAAGGTTTTTCTGCTCCTGACAAAAGAAAAACCTGCTACGAAAAAACAATTTGGAATCTGCTTGAAGACAGACCATCCTACTGATACGTGTCCAATTTTGCAAGAGGATGTTGCTCCAATCAAATCTATCAGAGGATACAAGCAACAAAAGATCTATAATCAGCCTCCTAATTTTTATCAGAACAATAATTTTCAGCCAAGACAACAATTTCAACTTCCTCCGGGTTTTCAACAGCAGCCAAATTACTAGCTGGATTTTCATAATAATCAACAACCATATTTTTGGAGTCTGAATTTTCAGAACTAGAATTCAAATCAGCAACCCAGTAGTTCCAGTATGGCCTTAGAAGATTTTTTGAAGAATTTTGCCATGAGCACCCAAGGATTCTAGACGGAAACCAGGGCTAGTATCAAGAATCTGGAACAACATGTGTCTCAACTTGCCACTTTTGTGGGTCGTCTGGAATCTCAAGGAAAGTTATTGGGACACATAATAAGTAATATGAACGTAATGTGATTATTGTTTCCTTTAGAAGTGGGAAAAGTTATGGAGACCCATGCTCATTTGAACTAGAAAAAGAAGTTGAGGAGGATTTTGAAGAAGTTCTGGTAGAAGAGGAGATGTAAAAGAGACCGAAGAAACAAGAGGAAGAGTATGAATAGGTGTTGGTTGAAGAAGAATCTAAAAAGTTATAAGAAAAAGAAACTCCAAAACCAGTGAAGTCAAATCTAAAAGAATATAAGCTCTTACCTCCATTTCCATAAAGATTGGAGAATACGAAGCATGAAAGAGAGGATGAAGATAACATAAAAAAATTTCATAAGGTTGAGGTAAATCTTTCACTTTTAGATTTATCAGACACATCCCTTATTATACCAAGTTTATTAACAAAATTTGTATTTCTAAGAAAAAAAAAGAAATTTAATGAAATTATCAAAGCTGGCGAAATTATTTCACTCATTTTGAAAAAAGGTTTACCTCCAAAGTGCAAGGTTCCGGGAATTTTCTTGATTCAATTTTCCGAAATTCATGCTTGAATTAGAAGCTTTCGTCAATGTCCTTCCATTTTCTTCTTTTGAAAAAATAAAAAAGGGAACTTTATAAAAGACCGGGATAATTATCCAGTTGGCTGACCACTCGGCAGTACACCTAAAAGGTGTACTGGAGGATGTTCTTGTCCAAGTGGATAATCTGATCTTTCCCACTGATTTTTATATTTTATACATGGATAAGTTGGACACTTCAGATACAAAAATCTAACATTTTAGAAAGGCCATTTATAAAAACTGCAAAAACAAAAATAGATATTTTTAATGGCATGATTTCAATGGAGTTTGATGAGGAAGTAGTTAACTTTAAAATTAATGAGGATAATTTTCCTTCTGATAATATTTTTGTTAATTATTTGGGTACTATCAGTCCTTTATCTGGGGGTTGCTGTGAGTTTTCTGATAGTTTTGTTCAAGATCTATTTTTACATAGGAAATCAGATGTCGATACATTAATGGAGCTGAACAAAAATAAGCTTAGGGAAGAGGAGGAGCTGAACTCTGTTGAGGAAGAATCGGATAAAAATCTGAAAAAAATGGTTTTGGGAAAAGAAAAAGAGGAAAGTTGATTTCTAATATAAATCTGAAGAGAAAATAACCTAAAGAATTTAAAGAGAATATATTTACAGAAAGAATAGGAATATCGGAAAGAGGAAGAAGTTTGAAAATAATCAGAAAAACTTACCTGAAGACAAACTGGAGTCTTTCCAATTTGCTGAACAAGTACAAGACCCACCCATCTTGTCATATCTGAAGGGATCTGGAGTGACAAGGAAGAGAGTTGAGCCTCAGAGAAGTCTCAACCACACGAGTTAGCAAATCTGGTTAGGCAAAATCAAGCCAACGACTTTAAAAATGGGTGAATTTCCGGAAGGTAACCCAAGGATTAGTTTTTAATTTTTTACACTTTCAATAAAGAGATGGTTGCAGTTCCAAGCGAGCTTAGGGAAATTACAGGATAGATAGAGTTGCTGAAACTCAGAATTTTTCGTCAACATTCATTGTCACCATCAAATTTTCTTCAATCTTATCAAGTACAATCTTTCCTAGCCGCACCCTTTTTGCTTTTATATGCTTTATTGAGTTGTTCATTCCTCTCTGATGCATTGAAGACAATGCATCAGTTTAAGCTTGGGTAGGGGATTAGTATAAAAAATTTCATTTTTTGTTAAAAAAAAATTAAATTTTCAGTTCTTTTTAGGCAAAAAATTTCAAATTTTATTTTTCTTTTTGAATTTTATCTTCCGTATTGCATTTGCATAAAAAAATCTGAAAAATCCAAACATATTTTCCATTTTATTTTTCTGCATTCATAAAATGAAAAGAGAACCCAAAAAGATTTTATTTCTAGTTATTGTTTTAAATTGAAAATTTTTACATGAGATGATGATATATTTTTACATTCGATAGCTCTATAAAGAGGAAGTGTGATAGTAACCAAAAATACCTGTCTCATTGCAATCAACTTTAAGAATTATTTTTTCGAGTGCTTTAAAGGTTTTCAATATGAACCAACATAAGAATCGGATAATTTTTACAATGGAAGTGTAGGTGGAAAAATGAATAGTGTTTTAGAAATAATTTTCTTAAATGTCTTAAAAAGAACCTAGATTAGATAACCTTTTTTTTTCTTTCCTTGAAGTACTAAACCCTATAGTTTCTGCACCTTTTGAGGTTAGGAGGGAAACTCTTGTTATACCCACAATTTATTATCATTTTTGAAGTATTGAAGATATGGTGGGCCTCAAATTATATCCGAACCCAGTCAATACATATATGTTAGAAATGGTATATCAATCAACTTGAAGAAATTTGAAATTCAAAGTCAAATCCATGTCAAGTTCAAGTTGAAATCAAGAACCAATCAAGTTAAATCTGAAGAGTTGATCAAGACAAAGAAGATGTGTGTATAACAAGATAGATCCCTTGATAGTGGAATCATAGGGGTAAGCTTGGATTTTCTGTCCATAATGGAGTTTACCGTGTTTACTGGACGAGTTTGGGAAAAAAATGAGGGGTTGGTCAAGCTAAGGTTTTATAAACGAATTTTTGTGAAATTATTTTTGAAAGTACACAGTTTTAACAAATTTAATTCAACGTAAAAATTATTTTCTCAAGCTTGGTTTGACTTTAAGTATGAATTCTGATTCTGCAATAAAAGTAATTAGACTGTTATCTAGGTAATGATTTTATTGGAGCTTCCTCGTTGTGAAATCTGATCATGTGAACAAAAAAAGAGTGAAGTATTTTTAATTTACTTTATTTTATTCTAAAATTGTTTTAGGTCATCTACATCTTTCCACATGTTTACAATGTTTTATCTTTTCCTTAGTTAAGGGCAACTAAGGTTCAACTTTGGAGAGATTTGATAAATGTCATTTTATGCATGTTTTAGAGAATTTTTTATTATCATTTAACATCATATTTTATACATTTTCATGTCATTTTTTTTAAATAATGTTCAACTCATTTCTTTTATCAGAATGCTCTTACTACTAGCATTTTTGTGTCAATTTCAGATCGTTCGAGTGAAGTAGTACTTTGGGAGCATTTTG